CTTCTACGATGACAGTCGCGAACACAGACCTCGATTGGGAAGACTTCCGCCTGAAATATGATTGAGTACGAGCCCATTGGCAGACTTTTCTGGAATCTTGATCCAAGTACGCCATAAATTATATCGCTACCTAAAGGTGAAAAGGTGCCAAGTCCATGTTTTCTTTTCAAAGTTTAGTTTTTGATACAGAATGACAGGTAATACGAGACTACATCGATTTTTCGTCTCTCCTGAAAAATTTCTAAAAATGGACTTGGCACCTTTTCACCCTTAGGTATATGGATGTCCGTATTGCATATTGGCAATAATAAGGTATACGTTTGTACTTAGGAATCAGGTATATTTACATGTTTGTGGCCGCCATTATACGAACGCACCGGTAAAATATTTGTGTAAAAAGGGTTGCTAAAATATTTGGAGATACGTACATATTTTCTATTTTTGGCAAATAACTAGTATTCATTGTCCCGAAACCTACCAAAATCCAATCAAGCCTACCAACCTACCAAATGGAAAAAAACCTACCAGTTTTGGTAGGAAAAGCCCATGTTTGGCAACACTGACGATGATGTTGACGTGCAAACAGATGCAGCCAAAGAGTGCGAATCTAGGGCAACGACATCAGCAGAGTTAGCAGGAGAAGTTATTACATTAACGCTCTTCGAATTGTTGTCGCCTTTTTGGAGATTAGAGCAAGAACGTTCGTTGTGATAGCGGATTGTCTTAATATCACTTGCTAGCAATGTTGCCAGGGCTTCGGCATGAGAAAACGTCCCTCTTGGTCTGAAAACACGTTATTTCCTACCCAAAATTGTCTTTTTCAAATGAATGTACAAAAAATTGTTCTTATTTAAACTTTTATTGTATACAAAGGTACATATCGAGCACTAACCGCCAAAATAACGTAAGCGAAATTTTTTTCAACATTTTCTTTTTGATGCAGAAATATTCCTAGAGCATCTAGATGCATTTCTGCATCAAAAAGAAAATTTTGAAAAAAATGTCGCTTACGTTATTTTGGCGGTTAGGGCTCGATATGTACGTAAAGTATATTAAAATATCATTTCGATAGAGCACAGTTAAAATTTATTGTAAACTGTTTTGAGATCGTTAATATAAAAATCATTTTATACATTCACTTCAACTGATCAACTGATTAAGTCATCAACATTTTGATCGTTTTTGGCTGTTTCCCTTTCGTTTATTTAATGTTGATTATTTATCCATAAAAGCCAAGCTCATTAACATACAAAATATAAATCCACAAGAATTGTGCAAAAATTATAAACAATCTGTAAATTTTCAGCTAGATTTTCAACTTTCTATTCAGATTTTTTAGCCCATTAAATTTCAGGGCAATAATGTGCAAGTTTAAAGGGTTGTCGAAAATGCTAAATTACGTTCTGCTAAGAAGGAGCATGGCAGCAGGTCCATTCAATATCAAAAAATTTTTACGAATTGTTACTAGTACTTGCAAGTTTTTACTGGAAATGCATTCAATAGCCCAAAATATTTGCAAGAGGGAGCGAATTCGAGAGCTTAACAACCCGAGAGAGCTGCAAATTCTTGCAAGTAAAAATTTTACTTGCAGGGATTTGCAGGAGTCCAAAAGTAAGGTTATGTTTCAAATTCAAATGTAAACAACTATTTAAGAGGATGATTTGATGAAACATAATTAGTGAAATGAAAATATGGATGAAAAATTTAAATCTATTGTATATTTAGTTTTTATTTTTATGACGATGGGAACTATACCCAATTAAAAAGAAAATTGCGCGCCAAAACTTAACCGTCAGAAAGTGTCAAAATGGCTTAAGTTGTAAGTTTTTACTAGTTTTGCGTTCAATAACTTTTTCTGAAAATTTTCTCTTGCTCTCAATTTTACTCTCTATTTTTCTTTTACGCTCTCGCTGCAAGTACTTACTGGAAAAGTTATTGAATGGACCTAATATTTCAGTCTTTTTTGTATTCAGTACATTTTCAATGAAGTCTTAAAAAAGTCGCCTACTTTTTCCGATGTTTTATGCTGCGCAGCTTTTTTGATGCTTTTACGAGCGTGCCTGCTGCAATAGATCGGCTCTACCTGATTTGACTTTTAATGTGCAATTGCATCATTACAGCAAGCGTCGTAACCTCAAGTGTTTACACAACCAGCCTTTGAACAAGGGAGCCTTTGGAGGAAGCAGCTGCAGCAAAACACAAAGATTGTAAAGATTTATTAAGAAAATAATTCAAAATCAGTTCTACTTATAAGATTTACAGGCCTATTCTGTAACCGAACATTTTGTAACAAGCTAATTTTGTTACCAACAATTGTCACCACTTCTTGCAACCGCAATTCTATTTACCTTGGTAACGTTTTAATTTATTCAGGAATTCAGCTATGGAGTTTTGTTGAAATTCTGGTGTTGCAAATTTCACGGGGCAATATTTTGTTACCTGCTCATGAGATGGTAACAAAATTTACCGGTTACAAGAGTGTGGAGAATACGAAAAGGGTTTAAAAATTGACAGTAACTTTACTAACCGGTAACAAAATTTTTATTACCAACGCAGAATAGGCCTGTTAGTAACAAAGAAAAATTACTGGGAAGTTAAAAAACGTAATTTTTTACACAAAAACCGTCCAAACGGCAACAACGTACAAAAAACGTCCAAATGACGTTAAAAATGTCAACCTGGCAACGCTGCTTGCTAGTGTTGACCAGTGTTGCCGCGAATTTTTTAAATGGTAGCCAAATTCCTTTAAAAAAAGGGCTAAAAAGAGCTAAAAAAGTCATTGTGGCTAAAAATGGTAGCTAAAATTTTTTACTTACATATACATAAGTATACACGCAAACATTATCAATAAGTAATGGTATAGAAAAACAATGAACTCTGGAACAAAAACAAATATTTTATCCAACCAAAAACCTTTTTGTATAAAAGGAGAAATATACGAAACCAGCTTGCTCGGCTCCATCAATTGTTGATTGTACCATCAGGCTCGAAGCATATAACTTACCATCATGCTGGTACAATATTTATTTCTTTAGAAATGAGGTCGAGGAAAGATCGAAATGATTAGAGCCGAAATTTCATAATTTTTCTACCATTTTGTCAAACATTGTTTTTTTTTTTTAATTCACAACTGCAATATCGAGAACTTAATCTTCCACAAACACGGCTTTGACTCATATAGTGCAAGAAATTTTCGCCAACACACTTTTTACTTGGAAAATTGAGCTAATTTCACCACTCACGACACCAGCATGCTGGTACAATCATAAAATTTTCAAATAGTTTTTGAAGTCGCACCAACAGCTGGTACAATCACACTACAAGAACATAAGTACACGGTCAATCGACTTGATGGGCCATTTAACAAATTAAGCATATTAAGGGCCATACACTTATCTATTTTAAACTATAGATAGATCGTTAAGAGATAAGTTAACAGCCCTAACACTTTTACAGTATGTATGTATAAAAACGTTAAGAACATACAATACATATAGGTATATATATCAGTCTTTCTTAGTTTAAAAACTCATCTCTTACATAAATGAAAAAAAGAGATCAAATTTAGCATATACAACTTTTTCATGCCAAGTATAAATAAATTCTCCAAAGGGCTAAAAAAAGGGCTAAAAAAAGGGCTAGGGGCAATTTTAAATTTATGTGGCCAAAAAAAGTATGTGGTAGCTAAATCTAGCCACCAAAGGGCTAAAACGGCAACACTGGTGTTGACATAGCCGAGAGCAACTCATCAAATTGAAGCTTGGTTTGCAGAGTGCGAACTTCGGCTTTCAACGATTCAGTTTGTATGGAGAGTGACGTATTATCTTCACGCAGAGAATTTACAATACCAATAATACGGACGTTTTCTTTTAGCGCTAACTGTAGAGTAATGGTTTGTTGAGATGTGTTTTCCTTCAAGATTTTGATTTGCTCTTCTTGGACAATTTCAATGCCAGAAGAAGGAGTTGAGTTTGCATGTTGGTGAAGTAGTGAATGAGTAGGAAAATTGTTGGTGCTTCTATGGGAGTTGAGCTGAATGTCTGCTGAGACCAGTGTTGCCAAACATGGGCTTTTCCTACCAAAACTGGTAGGTTTTTTTCCATTTGGTAGGTTGGTAGGCTTGATTGGATTTTGGATGGTTTCGGGAAAATGAGTAATAGTTATTTGCGAAAAATAGAAAATATGTACGTATCTCCAAATATTTTAGCAACCTTTTTACACAAATATTTCACCGGTGCGTTCGTATAACGGCGGCCACAAACATATAAATATACCTGATTCCTAAGTCCAAACGTATACCTTATTATTGCCAATATGCAATACGGACATCCATATATCGTGACCTAAGGGTCAAAATGTGCCAAGTCCATTTTCAGAAATTTTTCAGGAGAGACGAAAAATCGATGTAGTTTCGTATTACCTATCATTCTGCATCAAAAACTAAACTTAAAAAAAAAATGGACTTGGCACCTTTCACCTTTAGTTAGCGATATAATTTATGGCCTACTTGGACCAAGATTCCAGAAAAGTCTGCCAATGGGCTCGTACTCAACCATATTTCAGGCAGAAGTCTTCCCAATCGCAGTCTGTGTTCGTGAATGTCATCGTAGAAGGCAAATGAGGCCAGAATAAATATTATGGCGGACATTCAGGCAGCGTTAAAGGTCTTAGAGTCTTTTAAAACGGCATCAAGGCTTGTAAACTCTTGAATCACCTGCGAGCCCACAATAGCGTTACGCATGAAGGGCTTGAAGGCAACGAAAGGGCTGACTGTCTCGCAAATCGTGAAGCCCAAATGCGTTTGCGTGGTCCCTAGCCTTTCTGGAGCTAGCTGCGAATAATCTCAAATTGCTGCCTACTGGCGGAAGTCAAAGGGAATAAGACAATCAAAGATATGCATAACTCTTTCCAGCAGGAACTCCGAAAGACACCTTGAACTTAGAACTCTTACTGGCAACCTGACAGCACACTGCAAGTTAACGTACGGTTTTACTTAAATGGGTCTTTCTGTAGAGACGGACTGTAGGGTTTGTCGGCTGGTGAAAGAAACCCCAGAGTATATTCTATGTGCCTGTCCACGCAGCATGAATCGTAGATTGATACACCTTGGAAAACTGCTTTGCTTTCGGCTCCAAAACGCTTCTGAAAAAGCTTGCTGCATGAGCACTGTCATATATCTACAGCAATTTAAAAACCTCACTCCGCTCGGAACGGCTTCGCTCGGCTGGGATCTGCTTTCTGTGTGAACGTACCCTTACGCATTTCTTCCCTCCAAGGAGCAGCAACTTATCAACTCAGTAGTTCAGATTAACTCATATTTTGCTCATCCAGCAAATGTCATGCTACCAATGCTTTACGATGATCATAAATCAGTACGCGGCCAAGCAATAAAAAAAATTGTCTACTACCGTGACAACCTTTGCGATACAGAAGTACTTACAGAGTACAAGAAATGTAAATAAAAAGAAATTTTTACTGCTATTATTTGAGTACATAGTCCACTTGCAAAGTGCGCTATGTAAATTTTTTTAAATTTTTAGTTTTTGGTGGTTAACGTACCAGTATTTAAAGTAGTTTCATGTCAACTAACAATACAGTGCAAAATCCTTATATATTCTGAAAAAAATAGCATCAAATGTTAGGTACTCTAGCAAAAGTCGCTATAATACTTACTGTATGTATATATACACTTTCAAAAGTCGCTATAATATTTATTGTACGTATTTATACAAGTTCAAAAGTCTCCATCTTCTGATGAACTTAGAAAACTGCAAAAAAACGTGGTAGTTTCGGTACCTAGTGGAAGACGTCATAAAAAAGAAGCAGGCCAACCTTCATAGAAGAGAGAACGCGAAAAGCTTACAAAAGCTGGCTATATAAAACTTACTGTTTCAAAACTCGCTATATTTAATTTCTATATATAAAATTTGCAAAAACTACCACACTGCGATTTTGATTTTTAATGTTATTAGGCTCTTATTTATCCAAATTTTCAGATAATAAAAAGAAATATACAATTTGGATGTTACTTGTTGTTGTAGACGTTTTTTTAATTTATGGCTTACTTTTATAAAATCACATAACGCTGTTTGCTACTCATTTCAGTATGATAGATTTGGATGATGACAATATTTTAACAGAACCGCCAATTACTAGAAACATTCCGCATAACCATTTGAAGGAATATTTAGAATTTGAAGACCCATCACTTCCTGACCCACAAGTTGAATGCCACATACAAAGTACTGAACAATAACTTCAACTGCTAACAGCTCTCTATCAGAAAAGAAGCATTTACATATGGAAATACATATCGTGTAAGAGCGCTATAACCAGCATTTCTCGGCGCGTAACGGAAAAAAATCGTGAAAGTGTTATGGCTGTAACTGATGTTCGTCGAAAAAAATTACCACGCTTGCAAAGCAAGCAGGACTAAAAAACTTAGTTATTTAAGTATTAAAAAAATAACTGCTTTTTGTACCCTTACCCTCATAAATCAGCTATTTGTTTAAGTTTTTCCCACCAAATTTTGTATTACCCGATATGCAGCTTCCACTTAAAATTCGCTGGCTCGAGATTGGTTTTAGACCCATAGCTTCTTAAGAAAATTATTTCAGAATGATACGTAGAGAATTTTCCGCATATGCGATTTTACGGGTAAAAAAAAATCGACCCCCCCTAAAGTCCATACACATCTGTGGACATATTTGACAAAATAACTTCTCTCGAGTGAGGTCATCTTCTCTTCAACGCAATAATTAACTGAGTTCTCATATGATATTTTTAATTTTAATCGCTAATAGTAGCTCAAGATGCTACCTTAATCAAAGTTAAATAAACTTTTTAAATTTTTATTTGGAAGCTCCTTAAAATTAACTCCAAATTCCAACCTACAGAAAGCAAAGAAGTTGTTTTGTCAAAAGTCCACAGATATGTACCTCTGCGGGGTAATACCTAGCGGTTGGTCCATGAAGGGAGGGAAACAGAGCAGGGGTGGGTTTCTAGTGCCGAAGGGCAAATCCCACACTTATCGGCTTTCAATGCTTTGTGCGACCTCCACGAAACAAAAAACATAGCATTACACTGATGTATTGCATAAAAATGGATGTGTAGTAAAATTATAATCAGCATACATACTATATATGTATGTAAGTACATACATAACTTAATTGCACTACAAGTTTATCGGATCTTTAAACGAATCGCACTGATTAACAAAGGTTATATGAGAACCTATCCCTACAAATAGTGCGTACATATTAGAGAAGTTAGGTATGTATTATACTGTAGGTTATGTTTCCACATGCGAACTGGTGTTTTAATTGTAGCTGTAATAACTAACCACCACATAATGCGGTCCGTGCATGAAGAATTTCAACAGTTTGCCTGCAAAGAGAATTTCTTTGTACTTAGTCATTTTCTTAAGTACTAAAACATTGTTTCGTATGTAGGTGCAAATATAATCCCTTAAGCTCATATTTGTTATTTGTACATACATATGTACGAGCATACATATATCGCCCGTTTACTGGAAGAATGCCATAAGACAAAAACAAATTACTTAAGAACTTTGATTTATATTTTTCCCTTGGAAAAATAAAAGGGAGAGTACTAGGTATATTTGGCCCAGAAAAAGAAAGTTACACAATTTTTTCTATTATTAAACGGCTTCTCAGTACGGTCTATGTACATACATATTCTACGCTCTTCTTTTTTGGCCTTCCCTGCTAATTATTTTCTCCTAGTAAAATTTTTAATAGCAGAAACTAGGAGTAAACATATTGGTTTTTATTTGTTTCTTTATTTATACGTGTTTTTTTTAAATAAAAATAAGCGAATTATTAAATACTAATAATTGTTGCAAAACGCATCTCAACACAGTCCGTAGAATCAGAATCTAATTCTTCAATTGGCTCTAGCTTGCGAGATATTTGGGATTTATAGTGTCGGAAATCGGAATTTTGGTAGTTTTTTAACTTCTGTAGAAAGATATGTATAGACGTGCAATATACAAAATCTTTCGAACAGCTTAAAATGAAAGCGACAATACTGGAATTTCAGTTTCTAAGGTAAATTTAATTCCTTAAACATGCGGTTTAAAACGAGTTAAAAATAACAATAAAATTTTGTTTACGAATTTCTTTAAATTTTGTATTAGTTCTATTTTAGCAGCTCAATTTATTTGTCAAATGTTTCGAAAATTTTTGAATAAATTGACTTACGTTAATACGTATATTGAATTTTTTTAGTTTTGGTTATAAATACAATGCAATCAACTCATTCGAAGAAGAAAGAATTCCAACTTTAATCATATCTGAGCAAGCCTTTTATGTTTTTGTTGGTAGAATTGGAAATTTACTTCGAATGGTTCTAAAAAGGCTTTTAAAAAAATTAGTATCAAGTCAAGTTGATGTATGTACAACCTGTTTATATGCTTTGGTTATTATACATATGGGGTATTCCATCGTCACGGGTGGGACATTTGTACAGCAAAAATAGGTTTTCTTTTTTAAATTTAAGTATAAAGTACTAAGCAATTCTACATTTCGATAAAGGTACACCTAGTTTACTAATATACGAGTTATTACCAAATACGAAAAATATTACAACTTAATTTTATATCGGAAAAATCCGGGCTGTTTCTTCTGTCACGGGTAGGACAAAGAAAAGACCCTGCTTTTTGGAGAACATATATTTCACAGAAAGTCTGTGAGTAACTAAGCAATACGAAGTTTAAAACCGTTTTGTCACGGGTGGGACATTCAAAACCGTAGTGTTTTCACCCCTTTATATAATTTAAATGCTTATTTTTCTTCAATGCCATGTTGCTTCTTTGGGACGAAGAAGGATAGAGACATGTATTCCCCACTTCAAAAAAATAATAACTTTGTAAATACTTGATTTTGCAGAGACTTCTATATTAAAATATATTGTCGTATTCAATTACTTTTCTAATGTTGAAGTTTTGAGTGCATTTACAGTGTAATAAAATAATATAACTAAATTTTTTCTTAGAAAGTACGTTAATTTGAGATATTTAGCATTGATTCATCAAGCATTCCATGTTCAATAAGTTACTATATAATTGGAGACAATGTTTCACATACTCATGGAATACCCCATATATTTTTGTTTAAAAAGAAAACCTGACATAGGCGTTGCTCCAGCAAATTTGAACGTGTATACATACATGCATACACATTAGGGCGGGCTGAATCAGACCCTTTTCTTTTGATCATATTCTAAAAAAGCGGCAAAGTTGCCTTTTGATCTCAATAATGCGTGTGCGAAATTTCGAGTTGATCAAATAACACCGTGCGACAAAAACAAGAAAATTTCGAAACACATGAAGCAATCATATACTCACGAAACTATGGCCCAAAAATAGTAAAAGGGATTTTGAAGTTTCAAAGATATGATCAATTCCAAAAATTATTTGAAAATTCATTCCAATGTAGAAAAACAGTATGGGTACCAAATGAAATAGAAAATTCTGTAGAATTAAAAACTATTAAAATTTGTTTGGTTCACAAGAAGGAAAAGGTATTGAAAATGTCCTTTTGATTAGTTTTATTTCTTTATGTCTCGGCAAAGGACCGCTCGCAAAGTTGAGAAATATTGTTGAGTTCTTACTCTGTGTCTATATTCCAATGTGGTTTAAAATCAGAACTTGATCAAAGACGGAGAGGGTCTCCTGTTTGAAAATAGTGAGCGCACCTATTACTTACCACTCTCTCTTGTTGTGGATGCTAGCATTTCACAATATGCTTTCTTTGCATTTTCGGAAAATTCACTGGTAGCGATGATTTGTATCGTCAAGCTTGAAGTTCGATCAAAGGCACTAAAAATTTTGGAAGCTGGAAGCTTTTACATGCTGCAAGCGGAAATGTTGCCAAACGAATTTTGCCAAAAGTAATAATTTCAGCAAAGAATTGTTACGAAATGATTGATTGGTCCACATGTCACGTTATTTCTCCTCAAGTTCTGCGGAATGTAGCTAACCAAGAGCCTATCCCTTTGCAGAAGAACAGTTAGTACAAGTAATTGTTAGCAAAAAAAAAACCGACTTCAACTCTCATATAAAAAAAAAATATATATATATATATCTCATGATCCACTGATCGGATCTTAACCAGATTAGTATGGGACCACCTCTGAGACACTACCTTTCCGATGCAAATCGGTTGACGTGGTCCAAAGTTATGCGGTAACATACATTAAAAAAAAAAACAAAAAAAAAAAGATTCCGACGAACTGATAACCTCCTCCTTTTTTGGAAGTCGGTTAAAAAGTAGGAAACAATACCTCTAAGCAAGTATGTGGCAGTGATGCTATAGATGGGTTTATACGTTGCACCTTACGTTTGAGGCAGACTGCTTCCACTTTTAATCATAAGAGAGAATTATTCCTATAAACTTACCCTTAAAATGAAAAAAAAAAAAACAAGTTCTAAAAACAAGTAATTTTTAGCAAAAAAAACCGACTTCAACTCTCATAAAAAAAAAATATATATATATATACATATATCTCATGAACCACTGATCGGATCTTAACCAGATTAGTATGGGACCACCTCTGAGACACTACCTTGCAAATCGGTTGACGTGGTCCAAAGTTATGCGGTAACATACATAAAAAAAAAAACAAAAAAAAAAAGATTCCGACGAACTGATAACCTCCTCCTTTTTTGGAAGTCTGTTAAAAAGTATGATTAAGAGCGTGTGTGAATCGGTAACAAAGTTCACGACGAGTAAGTTTTTGACAACTATATGTCACCATATTAAAATAATTATTCAACAGCTTTCCCCAAAGTCCTATGTTACCGATTCACACACGCCCTAAGTTAAATAAAATATTAAAAGAAATTAAAATAATGAAAAGCAAAAACCAATTTTTGACGTAGGAAAACATGAAGTGGAAACACCCAGCCAGCAAAATATCCCGAAACGTATCCGAAAATGGAAACAATTTCGTATAAAAACCCGATGTTTCATCCGTTTTCTGATTCAGTTTTTGATCGTTTTTCAGATCCATTCTCCCACTAAAGTGTAGATCCGAAACGTATGTACAGAAAGCTATTGAAAATGGTTGTGAAACGAATGTGTTTTCGGCAGTTTTCCTGAAATATGGCTGATTACATTTTTCGTTGAAAACGACTTCATAAATAGTTACAGGAAACCAAACAAAAAACAATTTGAAGATTCAGCAATTTTTTCAATTTTGATAATTACTTTTATATGTATAACTTTAGCTTCTGACGGCATTCGAACCTGCGACCTTCTGGAAGCTCACAAAGAGTAGCATGTTCCTCTGCACACTCGCTACCGAATACATATGTATGTATATGTACATATTTTCAAATGTTCAGTTTTAACAACTATTTTAAAATTATTGTTTTGAAATAAAATATAACATTTTTCGGTTACCAAAAATTAACAAAAATGGAAGTCGTTTTCTGAACGTTTCCGGATACGAAAAGTGTACGAAAACTGCACTGTCGGCAAAAAGTACGTTTGTCCACTGGCTGGGCATTTTTTATCACTTCACATAAAATTACGATTCTGTTTTCAAATGAAAATTAATGAATATGGAAAAGCTTTTAGTATTTGAGAATCGCCTATTCACAATTGCATAGAGCGCGAATTGGGTGGGTGGCGCTTCTAAAGGTGAAAAACTGGTATTCGGCTATTTTATAGCGAACAATTTGGGGATTTTTGTTACAAATTTCCTTTTATCGCCTAAATTGTGTACTAGTTTCTATACATACATATGTATGTACATATGTTTATATATAATAAAACTTTAAAATTAAAAATCTTCTGCTGCTGCTCAACTTGAAATTTCCCACACGTTTTATTGAGATCAAAGGTAACTTTTCAGAATATGATAAAACAAGCCCGATTCAGCCCACCCTAGTACATATGTATGTATGTATGTACAGATGTATGCGAATATGTGTATGATGCGTAAACCACTTTTTCTCCTCGAGATTACTATCAGACCAACAAATTAGAAAACATATAAACATACATACATATACAGATACATATGTATTTACTGAAAGTATAGAATAAAAGACTTTTACACTAAAATGCCTTTTCTTTAGAATAAAAATATGTATTTTTACAAAAACCGCATTAGTTTGATCCGAAAATTATTAACCCTGCTATGAGAAAGTTTAAATTATTTGGATAAAAAAGAAAAAACTGTAAACGAATGTCAAAGACTTAACAAAAGTTAAGTGAAGAGTATAAATAGACCTTTACAATTAATATTACCTGTGAATTATATTTAATGAAACATATTAATTAAAAGTAAAATTGTATTGGGTGCAAACTCCACAATCAAGTCTTTTACTTAAACAGAAAAATCCAAGGGCTTTTAAGCTTAGGCTTCATCCTTTACAGTAAGTATCGAAGACATCCGTGAGTCAATTGACGAGGAAAATGTAACATGTACTACTCTACGTCACCACTCAAAAGCATTAGATTCAGATAAACACAGTATCGTAACCACAAAACCTGCTTAATTGTTTTGACTTTCCACTACTTCTTAAAGTGAATTGCCCCTCAAAGATCTATGCCTGTTCCCGTTTTCTTTTCTTTTTATATAAACTACCTACAGACGATAGGATGTGCAGGTTTATCGGTCAGATAAGCTCAATGATATATCTGATTGGCTTCAAAAAACAAATGAAACATTGAGCCGTATTAATAAGTGAGCGTTTTGCAATGGTCCAACGCTTAACCGAAGAAAGTCCCAGGTTCTTATCATCGGTAAAAAGCCCCAGTTTTTTCGACCCTTCCTTAATTCATAATTGGCGGAATTAGTATAAATACTAAATTTGAATCAACAAAATACTAACTTGGGATGGTCACATTTAAGAATGCCAACAAAAAATAAAATAATCGATTAATTAGTCATATGCTTAAACACAAACCTAAAAAACATAATCGCAATTAATTGCAATATTGAGAAATAATCGATTAATCTAATTTTTAAAGGCTCTTTTTTACAGTGGGTATTCACAAAACACTTCCCCATAAAACGGTTCTAATTCTCTCGTTAATTATCCCTAAATAAAATAAAACGAGTATTTTTAGCTGCAATAATTATTTTTTATTTAACCAGGTTTGCAAAAACAGAAGTTTTGATAAGCGTTTTGTTGTAAAGCGGTTGCGTTTCTCGGTGGCTGTAGCTCCAGCTTTTGAAAAACGGCGCAGTGGTTTTTCGAAAGTCCGTAAAGTTTTGGGTAAACAGTTTTCATTTCCTCCCAAGTGTTGATGCTATTCCGCTTTAGTTCTTGGACTTGACAATCTATATATTAATACGCTAACATAAATTTTGTCTCCGATTCTACCGAACTGATTTCAAAACCAAGAACACCGTTGGAAAGGCATTTTTCCGTAGATGAGCAGAGTTTTTATGGTTTCACAATTGGTTCAAAATTACGGCCAAAACCGTCGTTTAAACATTTTCGAACTGTGTATAGATGTTGCTGCAACATGTTCAATTTGACATATTTC